GCCCGCTTAATGTACCTAATGACAATTTTCCATTGACTACCCGTTATATTCTGTACGCTTCAATCAACTCAATCCTTCCGTTTAAGACTACTCTTTAACATAACGGTTCAATATTTCTCAATTCTTAATATTTGTTTCTAACAACGATAATTTTCGGTCACCCTATATAAGTGGTGATCCCATATTTTGCCAACATTCTTAATTTATGTCTTAAATCAACATTACGGTCGCTTTTTGCGATCCGACAACAATAACTATTACATACCAAATTTATTCGATCACCCGTTATACGCGATGATTCGTAAATGCTTATTCGTACTTTACTCACGTTACTGGTTACTTTCACGGTGGCTTTACTCGCTACTTCCGTTTTAACTCTGATAATAATTTTATTCCAACACCCGGTATATTCTATAACCCGTTATTATTTATAATCAACTCTATTAATTCAACTCGTGACTCTAACGGTTGGTTTATTCAATAATAAATTTTATTCACTCTATTTCTTATCTCACATCTTAAATCACTTTTTTCCCGTCACCCGTTATACTGTTACTTATCAGATTACCACCGTTTCTACGGTTTTGTGGCCTTAAGGGCATCTAACTATCTATTTACACCTTAATCTACTCTTAATTCTATATGCCTAACTCTAAATTCCTTTTTCTTTTACTTTTCCATTTTCTATTCTCACTCACTATTTCTATTTCTATTACTAATTTTGCTCTAATCTATTTATTTACTACTATATTTACACGTAATTACTATTTTACATTTTTCTACCTTTTCGGAGATGACAGCGTCGATCCGGGATGAAGCCGGTTGTGACCGAACCTTGAAACCGGAGGCTACGCACCGGCTTCATCCCGGATCGGCGCTATCAACCGAGAAAAGGGAGAAAATATATTGTGATTAAGACATGTAAATAGTGTAGATTAGAATTAGGAATAGTTATAGAGACGGAAGAAAGTATGTAAGTGTAAGGCGGGCAAGGATTCTTTTACGAAACCGTCTTGCGAGCAGAGTAAGAAAGAACTATCGTTCACAATCCGCGAGAGGCAATGAAGAATAAGGAACTCTCGGGCCATAGAGTTATGTCAGGAAAAGGATAAGCTAGGCTTAAGCCGGATAGGGAGAGCAAAGGATTGATCTCAGGATAGCAGTGAATAACACGTTTTATTGATCGCGATTACTTGTTGATCTCTTTAACAACTACACACACACCATACTCGTCGAGTCACACTCGTCGACTACTTTCTCTTCTCTTTCAAAAATATCTCAAGCGACCAATCAGGGTCGCTGTAATGGCCGATAGCCAATCACGCTCCTTCTCACTAGAAGTGGCGCCATGAGCACTAG